GTAGTAGTAGTAGTAGTAGTAGTAGTAGTAGTAGTAGTAGTAGTAGTAGTAGTAGTAGTAGTAGTAGTAGTAGTAGTAGTAGTAGTAGTAGTAGTAGTAGTATAGGGTTTTACGGCGCTCGCAACTGCTAAGGTCATATGAGCACGCTCCTTGTCTTGTCTCTGCCTCACCTCACTCACCAGTCTCACGCGTTTTAACCCGAAAATAGTTAAAACTGCAATTGAGGATTCATTCATTGACCCAACAGGGGGGAAAATCGTGTTTACATAGCTACCAAGCCATGTGGTCATCCGAGGAAATCGAGCAGGTCGATTTTTTCGCAAAAGAATCATTGTCCCTTATGTTGGGGTCAACAGAGAACACACACCCCCACTGACAGATTTCAAAAATACGGTCAAAAGCTACCTCTCCAGCCTGGGGAGGAACACCGGGGCGAACAATTGAACAACAAACTCCACAGTGTTATGCCCAAACAGGGCCCACGAAAGCCCTCGAGCCTCCCAAGAAGAGATGAGTTGCTTTTTCTTGATTACGTATTAGTCATACCTCCCTGACACATAAATACTACCTCTTGCAGAGAGATGGAAAGCCCTTTTGTATCTGGTGCGATACGATACGGATTTTACTTTCTAATGAAAATTGCTGTTGTCCAAACTTTTTTACCATAAAATGTTAACACCTAACCATTAAATAATACCAAGCCGTGCTGTGAACTCACGTTTCGTTTTGCGCTCTCATAACATTATACAGTTGCGAGAACTGTTAAACTCGTTCTTAACTAAACTTTTTTTTTATCCCTCTCCAGGTCCAGCACACTTTAGGGGAAAGGATGTTGTGCTAAGGGGGGGGGGGGGGGGTTAAAACTACAAATGACGTCGGGGTTTTTTGGTGGGTTTTTGGTTGTTGTTTTTTGCTTTTTGTTTCGTTTTTGGTTTTTTTCCTGATGTGTGCCGCCACCTGACATCAGCGTTCCCCTCTTAGCCACAGTTTATTCTGCTATGAAAATGTTTTCAGGCACATCTCGTCAAGAAATTAGCGCGTACTCAATAATTTGTCTCCGAGTTTGTTGGGGCACGTGTGAAAACTCGCCGCCTCACCTACGTTGAGTCTTCCCCTGCTCTCCGTGAACCTGCTCGGCTCGTTACAGTCCGCTCTTTGATGTTGTCTTCCCTTCCTTCTCCAGCGGAAACTCTAAATCAAAACACTTGTTAAAGTGGCTCCCGGGGGAGAAGCGGAGAGTTTCTGCAGTAATGTTGGCAAACCTATTACACTAAGGCGCCAGATGAGGGCTGAGATGGGTGCAGGGTGGAGATGTAGACTGGATAGAGACATACAGTTTGTGTGTGTGTGTGTGTTTGTACGCCTCTCTCTTTCTTTCTATTTCTCTCTTTATCTCTCCCTTTCTCTTCCGGCGTAACATGCGTTACGCGCTTTTTTGTGTTTGTGTGTGCTGGCGAGCGCGTGTGTGGTTGTGTGTGTAAATGTTGGAAGGGGTGGGGTGTGGGGTGGTGGTGTGTGTGTGTTTGGGGGGTGGGTGGATGTGGGAGGGGGTAGGGTGTTGGTTGTGGGGTGGGGGGTGTATGGGTGGTGGGGATGGGTGATGAGTATATGTGTCTCTGTGTGTATATTGAATGTGCATATAATGACTGGATGCTTGAACGTAATGATTGAGCTCCTTTATTTTCAACAGGAAGCATGCACTATCTACGTATGTGATCGTTTTTTGAGGCGGAGCGAATAATAATAA